TATGAGTAACAATTCTGGATATGGTATGACATTATGTTCTAGTTTGGTCACATTAGTTTTTGATAATTATTTTCTTTGCCAAACTTAACAGATGTTGTGACTTTTCTTTCTAAATTTTATTATTTTTCCCATTGAACTTTCTGGAGCAGCGGTTCTCAAACTTTAATAACCCGAGGGCACCTTTTAATGCAAAATTTTTTCGCAGATCCCCAAAACTGTCGATGTTGTTTTGTTTTTCAAGGAAAAGATTCCGTGTGCATGAAAAGCTGTATTCCAAAATTAAATATTTTCATTCATATAAATTTCATTTTACGAAAAATATTTTTTATTTTTTTTATAAAATCATAGTTTTTAAATATTTTTAGAAAATTTCGGACATGACTCGCAGACTCCAGTTTGAGAAACGCTGCTCTAGAGACTTATTGTTTTTTGTTTTTTACAAAATATGTAACGTTATTTGTTATTTTCTGTAGCTAGCTCCATGTGTCTGTTATACGGTTTAGTTAATTAAAGTAGATGTGGTAGTGTTAGACACACCATGTTTTGCATGATTTTATTTATTTAACACCGTTATATTTTCATGAAAGTTCTGGTTTATCTCCTTGTATATTACTCTGTATCTTCAAAACAGTTTTCCGTTGTACTACACGATATACGAAATTTTATTTATTCAACACAGGGTTAAAATTAACGAGTCATTATAACTTATACCGTAAGAGTGGTTTTGATCAAATGACGTGTTAGGCACAATTAGAAAAAAAAAATCAAATTATTGTACATGAAGCTATAGGCAACACAACATATCACTGATGTTTAAGAGAAAACTTTTACACACACATCTGGAAGATAGTTACTCAGCAGAGTATTATATAATATGCAGAAATACTAAGGAAGACACAAATAATGACATATATGAATTTACCCGAGAAATATTTAAGGTCATTTAGTGGTAAAATGAAAAGTCAGTATGAAGTTAATTCTGGTAAAACTGGATTTCATTCAGGTGACACAGCATGGTTGTACAATCCACACTACAAGTATTAGGAGGGACAATATGTTTAACTGAAAAAACAACAACAATAATGTGGTGTACAGAATGCAAAAGGTCATCCAACATGATCATCTTTCGAAGTATGTGGGCAAAAGAACGAGGAGTAGGTAACTTCAGAAAAGAATTTGCCAGTAGAGAGTAAACTCACTAAAGAAAGTGCACAGAGTTCCTGTTGAAATTACCTCCAGAGAATCATTAAGGATAGAGCTGCCAATAGATTCACTTGACTAACTAATTGGGGAAATCTCCCGTAGTGACGATAAGAGACAAGTGTCATCTCATCTGCATACCACGAGCCTCGGAAAACTACCAAAAAGACTTGATGAATGGACAGTTCAGATACAGTAAAGGTAGTTAGATATTTTGTTTTACTAATCGCAATATGTTTCTTGCGCTTTGTTTAACACCTTTAATAACATTGTGACTGTAAAGCATTATTGGGAATGTTAATTTTGTTAATTATAAATAATGAATTTATTGCTCATTATGGAATTATAAGATTAGTGTACTGTTTTTGTATTAGGATTGTTCAAGAACTTCATAATTCAGGAAGAGAGCAGTGTAGTGAGTTATATTGTTTTTTATTTTATTTTAATGTCTTTGATCTATTGAGGAGTATTTTTTGCAAGAGTAATGATTGTTGAATACTAGAAATTTCATGAAAGTTTAGTCCTCTGTAAAATCCTGTAATACGTAAAAATGCTAGATTGGGTGGCTTAAATTAGATAATCAGCTATTCAGTTCAGTACTAGTTAATGAGTTAGACAGCGAGAGTTTGTTCGTTTGTGATTCATCTAGTAAGCTATCCAGTGAACAAGTCAGCATGTTTGTTGACAACGATTAGTGAGGAAATTACAAGAATGTTTTTAAGTAAGTTAGGCATACATTAGTTTCGGTATTTCTATTCAAATGTAGTCTGGTGCAAACGTTCGGGAATGAATAAATTAATTTATCATTACGTGGATTAAACTTCATATTAATTTTACCAAACAATCCAAAAGAATACACCCAATGTTGGAACACATAAATTATGAAATACATAAATATTCGTCAATTTATAACTTTTACATCTATTTGTAAACACCCACTGAATATCTAAAATAAATTGTCGAGTATCTGCTCGTTTGTTAATTTCCTAAGATCTTCAGCGATACAAGCCCTTTCTTGATTAAACCAGTTTATTCTTTCTCGATACAAACTTTAGTACACGATAATTCCACATTCAGTAGTTTCTCGTCACTTTAAACTTGACAACTTTATAATACACGCTATAAATCACAGCTATTCACAATCTCGATAATTTTGCTCTCTACGAGTGCAAAACACACACTAGCTCGAAACAGAATCGTAAATTACCCGGAACTCAAAGTAACTACCGTTGCTTTATCATTCATTCATTGTTGCTCATTTTCTCTGCCAGGCTTATATACCAACGAATATATAATATATACCTTATATATCTCGAAAATTCGAGGACTTCCCCGATAATTCGAGAAACTCAGTCACGCATGCGCCAGCAGCGTCACGTGACTTCCGCTGTTGTAACAAAATTATGGAACTTGTATTGCGTAGGGTATATCCTCAAATACAGTCGAGATGTACTTACACATAACTGTCGTTTACATAATTGTTTTTTTTTTTGAAGGGTCGTATTTCTTCACTGAAATAATCAAACTTTGTTTATCTTCCTTGGCATCAGCATTGTTATATTGGCTTAACGAAAATAAAACTGTTAACTCGCTTGAAGAAAAAATGGAAACATTTAGATTTAAAGTATGCGAATAGACCAAGTGTACTGGAACACACCTGTGATTATCGTCTAGTTTTCCCATTTTAGTCGGGATCTAGTTGAACAGTTTATTACTTGACGAACACAAAGATATAGCGTAACTTTTTTGACCATAAAAAGTCAGATATGAAACATTTTGTACGTTGTTACCCTGAACACTGATTGCCAACTGTTAGATAAGATAACTTGATCAGCCTGAAATTAATTTGGAAAACTAACTGAAGTCACAAGGCATAGAGATGTTAAGTAGTGAACTGTCCCAGAACACATCTAATAAGGTATGCGATCTCGAGGATAAGTCAAACAGGTTTAATTTCCTAACCCAAGTATGATTTGTGCTAGGTGTTTCCCTTATATATATATAAGCTTCAAATTTCGTAGAAGCACTCGCGTCAATAAATTCGGTTAAGAAATTCTGAAGCCGAGACTGATTAGTACACAAGACCTTTAGAGGCTCGCAACATGATATTACGTAGTCGTTGGCATATATGTGAAAAGAGGGTGTAACATCAGATCAGTAGTTTCAACTGAAAACCACTCAATCTCATTTATAGCCAAGTGTGATTTAGAGTCTACGGCGGGTAGCTATGCTAGTACTAGTAGTCACACAAAGAAAAAATTATAGACATTTATTTCGAAACAAAAACTCTTGTGATAAGTGGTCGTTTCAGTTTCACGCTAACCTTCGGACTTTTAAATTATAACCGTAAGAGCCGGTCTGTGATACATGTTTTTTTTGTTTTTTTTTAAACTACGATATTAATGGGCCGAATATTTCGATGTTGAATTACTTTAATGATAAAAATTCGGGAAGTCGGAAGTACTGTATTTGTTTGTATTCTCAATACAAAAAATCTTAAACGCAATAAAATCACCTTTTTTTTTGGGGGGGGGGTTATAATTGTAACAGTGACTTGTATTGTTTAACTTGTTTTGACTGAAATGCATAAATAAAGGGCCAATCCAACCTTAACAGTGAGCGATTAATAATAATAATAATACAACCTCTTCGAGAAAGAAATTAAGTCCTAACAAAAAAGTTAACCAAGCTAGTTTTTATTAACCCATAATTTTGTCAAATTTGTTATTGCTGGTATTAAGATTTCGTAGTTGACTAGGTTGCCTAAATGAATAGTTTATGGTTAACTCATGCATACATGCTCGTAGAAATGATAGATCGTGTGGTTTTTAAATAGTATACAGACAATTTTTTTTGTTCAGTGTACACATCATCCGGGCCATGGCGCGTTGTGCATTATGGGAATATTCCAACATAACTTTGAACACACTAAAAGCCTCTTTTTTATAATTTTGGGTTTCCGATATACTTTGACATTCTATTCAACCGGAATCAAAGAAGAAGAAGAAATGATTGATTTGGTCGAGATATAACACGTGATATACAGCCGACATATTTATTATTCCCCCTGGAATAATGTTTATTAATATTATTATATATCACATCAGTGGCGCAGCTTGTCTTGAACATTATGTTATGTCAGGTAATAGTTAGTTAATAGATAATTTTTCTTATTAATAATTTCTGATTTAATTATGCATGTTAAGTAATTGTTTTAACTGCAACGCTAATAAAAGTCATTAGTTACCCCATCACCCCTTTTTTTCAGATTATGACTTCATGTGTTAAAACCGGTATTAAATTTAAAATTTAATTTGGCTGAACTAGTTTTAATGTAAATAACTCTAGGCCAGTTTAATGGGCTAATGTTGTTTTCACTGTTTCTAACACTGCGATTATAACATTTTCAGACCAAAGTTTTTCAAAATTTACCGATAATATGAAGAAAGAGATTTTTTAAAACTTAAGTCTCTCAACTGGTCGCCAATTTTTGTCACGATAGTAAAGGAAATTACACTCGGAACACGTTGTCGATATAGTACTCGATACTTTTTTTATGTATATAAAACCGTTTTAAGAAATTTATAACACATACGAAATATCATCATAGTGGAAAACAATTATCATACATATTACTTCTGAATGAATCAGTAAAGAACAATCAGATGGGTTTGTCTCCATTATCAAACTTACGAAATATCAGAAAAGCTAGAGACCTCAGACCTACGACGTCACCAATCCCGAATACAGTATTAATCTTCACATTATGATTTATGAATGAACTTTTAAGCGGTTCTTACCTGTTAAGATGGACATGGAGAATACGAAAAGTAACAGAATACACAATTTGTAGTTCATGACTGTAATAGGTAGAGCAGGCTAAAAAGGCTTTAGCTTCGTAAGCTTATATCTTAACTCGTGTTTCAACCGAAAAACACTGCTTATAAGTTATAACTTCGTCAACTGGGAAAACCCCAACGTCTCGCTACAGTGTTATACCAAACAGAGGTAAAGCAGAAGAAATTTACGGACTGTCATCTAGTGGTTCATATCATACACAGCAGCTAAACTACGTAACGACGCTACTTCGTTTCCCTTCTAGCTATGTGACGTGTCTCTTGATAAAACCAGTTTCTATCACCCCTTTATGAGTTGTGCAATTGAAGGTGAATCAATAAACCTTTCAGTTAGGACGAATGCCAATGTAGTATACTTTTGTGATTCAGTTGTACTGGTAATCATAACTTCTTAGATATCCCCCCCCTTTTATCTTTCATATTATTTTTTAAAAAAATTGTAAAGACCGGTAAGACAAGTTCTGGCGTCCAGAGAGCCCAGTAAACTTGTCAGGTGAGTGAAGTGATAATCGTATAATTGATACTAAGAGTGTGGCTGTTTTTGTAGGAAATAACCATAAGAAAGTTTATGGTAATTTTTCATAACATATAGAGAGGGGAATGTATACTAACCTATCATTGTTTACGTAGTTGTTTCAAAACAAAAGTTTATCCTTGACAAATAGTGAATGCAAATTTCAAAATAATTACGACAACGTAGGAAAATTCCAAAAACTAAGTTTTTGCTTTCTCAATTTTGCTCACAAGTTACACAGGTTTTGTCTTGCAGAGGTTTAGAACATAGAAATAATTTGATGTGTGATTTTTTCCCCTTAGAAAGGAGTGAAATAGGCTTAGAAGTACATGTTCAAGTACTCCTTACAAGCAGATAATTAATTAAACCCAGTCGACATCATTACCACGTGATCTTTGTTCTCCCACAGAACTGGTCGCCTGTACTTAGACAAAAATCAACTTGGTTATGAAGGATTTTAGAGTGCTAATCTTTTCAACCTGGATTCTATATGTTGCTACAATATCCTCGTTGGCAGAATAGACATTATACGCCATAGAGAATAAAGAAACGAAGCGGCTAGATCAAGAGAATCTAAACGGATTTTTACGGTCATTGGTTGTTACCATTATAGCATAGCAATTAAATAACAAAAAAAATAATAATTAAAATCAGTAAAGCGGGTAGAAAATATATTATGTGCCTGTACATTGCATTCTTCTTCGCTTCTCTGTAGGTTTTTCTCAAGTCGACAAATAAACTTAACCTTAAAATCAGTCTTTTTTAAAGCAAAGATTCATTAAATATAACTTAAAATACATTACAATGAAATAATACCCCCGAAAACATGATTTAAAACACAGTACATAATGAAGTAATACATTTAAACCAAAAAAAGATCCACTACCAACAAAATACAAAAAAGAAAAATAACCCTTAACAATGAATAAAACATAATACGATTTTTTTACATAGGAATACACGAAAACACCTTTCAACAGTGAACATATTAATGCCCTTTAACGAAGAACAAACAATACACAAGTATACATTTACCAAATTTGTAGTGCATACTGGAGGAATTTACATATTTTGATAAAAAGTTTAGAATAAACAACCTTTATACTCCACACAAACACACATATATATGTATAATAATTTTTATTATTTTGATATTTTGATAAAGATAATAACATAGTACCATAAAATGGAACTTTGATGGCATATAATAAAAAACATTAACAAAAGTCTACCTAGTCCTTTCGAAAGGGGTAGTGTAACAGATTATGTTTAAAGCAAAAATATAAACCCTTTATTGAATGACATAGAAAATAATAAAAGCACAATGCAGAAGAACCAAACCCTTTACATAAATCAAAGCATAAGCAGTCAAAAGGCCATAAAAACCTTCATAATCGGCACATTAACATAATCCATTTTACAATAAATGACGAAAACAAAGAATCTTAAAATGAAGCACTTACACTATTAAGAAGCAAATCATAATCAAAATATCTACATATAAGCACTGAACTAAATGACAATAATGAAATAAATAAGTAAGAAACATAATTCACAATATCTGTATATGTGTGTATATATATACTTTTTTACACAATTTGTTGGGAAGTGGTACAATACTATAACTTCATGGTGGATGGAGTCAATTCTTAACGTCGAGAACAAATCCTTTATCCCCTTACCATTGATTGTTTCATTTTTAAAAGAAAAAAGAACTCCTTTGTAACTTCTAGGTCTTTTCAGGTAAATAGATGCAAAAATCTAGTGAGTACAGGACGATATGCTCTATAGAATTCTCAACACTTAAATAGATTACAGGAGTGATTCTCTCAAACCGTTTGACAACATTGTGTATCAGAAAATTCATTCAGTGGCTCAGAAAGCAAAAGGGTCACAACATCCTTTCAATTGCTGATTTTGCAATCACATGATCGCCTTTACTGTTAATCAGTGGAAATACCACAGTGTAGTGCACACATCATAGTGTCAATCACTTGATAGCTGGACAGCAAAGAATGCCACTTCCTTCCAATCATCAGGGACTTCCGTCCATTTACAATTCATGTACTAGTTTTGGGCATGAATTATAAAGTGTGGGAGTTACTTTCTGCTACCCCCTAGTACACGTATAGCCTGATATTTCATACCTAAATACCGCATCTTTGTTCAGGCGATAGCATCACCTCATGACATTTGTTTTTCCACAGCATTGGTTGACTGTACTTAAACAAAGCCAACTAGGCCAGCAAGGATACTTTCAACCTGGATTTTATATGTTACTACAATATCCTCTCGGGCAGAATAGACAGTATACAATATAGAGAGCACAGAATCAAAGCAACTAGAATAAGGCAATCTAAATGACTTTCTGAACCATATGCTGCTGCCATTACAGCATGAAAAAAACCCCAAAAATCTCGTACATTTTCATATAACTAAAGTAGGTAGAAAACATATCATATGCCTGCATATTATACACAATAAGTTAAAGTAATTTCGTAATAAAGTTGTTAGTGTTGTAAGCTGTTTATTAAAATAAGCATTTGTATTATTGTTTTGCCAGAGGATGGCTTGAATTCGTATGATGTGCTATCTTAGGTAAAAATGGCACAAGAGGAAGCTAGGAAAAAATGGCAAAGATTGAAATGTGAATTATGCCCAGAAGCGGATACTGTGTCTTGCACCATGAAGAAATTGGGCAGTGTCCTTGCATCCCGCAATGTTGTCGTCACACAGGTTCTTCAATTGTTGTTGAAGTTCCACACATACCTGTTTCCTCTTCTTCTTGGAAGGCAGTCCAATGGCATCTCTTGCTAGTAGGCCAGCAACAGTAGCCTCTTCTTGCTGTATAGCCTTGATGGGGTTGTTTGAACAATAGTCGAAGTATTTACCAGTATCTGTAGGTTTGATGTAAACTGTTGTAGTATATGAGTTATGTGTCTTGGTGACCATCACGTCAAGGAGTGAAAATTAGCTATCTTTTTATATTTCCATTGTAAATTGAATTGTTGGATGTAGTTTCTTCATATGCTTCATGAACTCTTGAATTTTTACTGTAGTTTACGGCCATATTACGAATGTATTTGAGAAAATATTGGGGTGTAGAGTGATTGTTTTGAGGGTGTTAACTTTTAAAAGTTATATGCACTGGTTACTGGTGAAAAGGGATGTCAACGAAGTCACCATTTCATGTGAAGCATCTGGGTAAGATAACTGGAAAATACTTTCCACATCTTTAGCAAGTTCATCTGTGGTTTCTTTTTCCTTCTTATTCTGCTCCTAAACTTTGTTTTGGAAACGTGTTTCTGGTGTGATACTTCAAACTTGTTTGATAAAATTACCATCATTCCACCAATGCCTGATAGTTGCTACGGATCAAATCTTTGTTGGAAAGTAATTTAATCTTGTTAAAGCAGGACCTTTTAAATGTGCAGCAAGATGAATAACGTACTGTTCACTATTTCGTCTATTCACATGAGAAATTATCTCAAACTGTGCCTGATATGTTTCCCATGGTACCTTTCCTTCATAATCTTTTGATTCGTCGATTAAACGAGGCCGTTGAAATGGCTACAAAATTCTATAACTTGACGAGATATTGCTGTAGCTGGAGTAGTCCAAGAAGGTCTTGCAAAGCAACAAATGTAGATTAAATTAATTGTTCTACGGTTAATGGTTTTTAGATTGAAATTCTCAAGCAAAGAGAGATGAGTTTGGTTTGCTCCTTGCATTTACCTTTTGTTTCCAGGTGTTTTATGTTAGCATTGATGTTCTGTGTACTTTGTTGAACTTGTTATCATCCTTCAGTTTTGTTGTTATAATCCTTTTGCACCTCACTGATGTCCTTTTGGACGTCTTGCATTTTGTTTTAATTCTTCTGTACGTCTACTTTGCATTTTTAAATTCAGTTGAACTGAAGAACTATACAGTTTGTAATATTGTCACATAAATGTATCAATGTTTTTTTTTTCAGTATATGTTGACAAGTTTATTGTACAACCACTCATCTAATCACTGTTGTACTCACTTTACTATATGATTTGTTGCAGTTGAACTTCATGTTAATAATATCATACATAGTTATACGCAACATATATACAAACTGTTTTACTTCACTTTATTAGTACATATAGAACAATGTAGAGACATTGGACATGTATAATACCATCTTTGAACAGAACGTTTATAATATGTACCTGGGAACATTATACTCCTTGCAGAAAAAATATGGACTCCTTGCTTCCTCTCTTTTAGGGGGTAAATTCTCGTTAATTTTATAAACAGAAAGAAAAGGATACCTTCAAGGCACAATCTACACAACAATAGTTCTAATATATTTTACTGTGGAGAGCTCAGGAGAAGAGGGTGCTATTACTAACTTCAATTAAAATATTACCGTGGGCGGCACTACACCTGTACCTGTTTGGTTTTCAATTTGTGTTGCACATGAAGTATTTTCAAGAATTACCACCCATTACTGGTACAGGTTAAACTTTGCGTGGGACAGACGTGCAGCAGTTAGTTGGGCTGGGGGAAAGCTAAATCCACTACCTGTCACCACCACAGTAAAGTCTGGGGAAAAAGCCTCGCCATAAGTTAATCACGTTCCTTGAGAACTTCTGCCAAGTCGCCAAACTGGGAACTTTAAGTAAGCTGTCGTTTTTCTCAAAATTTTGTGGATAGAGGGAAAGCCCGACAATTATATATGTAATTACATAGACTGCATCAAGTATCGTTAATACATTCAAATAACATATTACGACAGGTTTGGTTAACTTGCCCATTATTATAAACAACCTTTTTTTGGGGGTGGTGATCTAAATTGTGCAGTTCTCCCATTCAAAATATTGTGAAGTCTCCTGTGATTCAAAGCGATAAATTAGAATTAACAAATACCCTGTCTGAATTTGCGTTATGTGTATCAACCAATGTATATGTAATACGTATTGTTAGGGTGCTACTTATTTCCACTTTAATGGTATACAGCTCAAAAGTTTGGTTAAGTTTCCTTTCTGCTTTAATTTAGTGTTCAACGTTTTCGTAAACCGCCAGGAAATGCGTGAGAAGTTGGAAATTAAAGCTATACGTTGTTCATTAACCCATAAACGAAGATCGTTTCTCTTAAGTTAATGAAATGACATGACAATTATATAAGACACAAAGTTGAGTGTGATTAGGTAAGATTCAGTTCTTGTACGACACCCAGTTCCTTGAAGAAAATCACGTTCAAAGGATGTTACTTCATTTTTCTTTTTACTCAGTTCATTCCGACGATGGTGAAACACACCTGTTTAGATAAGTAAAGCTATTTTTATTGTGCAAGTCTTAACTTGGAAACGTGAAAGTTAAATGCCCTGCTAGATTTTCTCTTGCGGTAGTACGGAGCAAATTAATATCATTGTACAATAGAATGTGGCATAGGAAGTGCAGGTATATTCCGATGTTTAGCAATTGAATACAAAACATTTGTACAGGGTTGTCCAATAAAAAAAAAAATACTAAACATATCAAAAAGTATGTTCATAATACACGATTATATATTCTTATTGAGTTAGTGAACACAACATTTCCTTTAACGGTGTATAAAGACCAAAATGTTTTTGGTTAAATCAACTACACAAACCAAGCACCAAAAGTTACCACTTTTGTTAGCATTCATGGCCACATAATATGAAATACAAAATGTTTTGGTTAAATCAACTACACAAACCAAGCACCAAAAGTTACCACTTTTGTTAGCATTCATGGCCACGTAATATGAAATACAAAATGTTTTGGTTAAATCAACTACACAAACCAAGCACCAAAAGTTACCACTTTTGTTAGCATTCATGGCCACGTAACATGAAATACAAAATGTTTTGGTTAAATCAACTACACAAACCAAGCACCAAAAGTTACCACTTTTGTTAGCATTCATGGCCACGTAATATGAAATACAAAATGTTTTGGTTAAATCAACTACACAAACCAAGCACCAAAAGTTACCACTTTTGTTAGCATTCATGGCCACGTAATATGAAATACAGATATTTGGATATGAAAGTTTTTACAAGGGTTTACAGTTTGTTAGATGATGGATGACTCAAGTGACTAAATCGCTAGTAGTAGTTACACCAGTGATACTGTTCGTCATTAATACTATTAAACTGGGATCAAAGTATACACTACTTTAAAACGGCAAGGAATAACTTACCATTATCCTATAAAGAGTTATTAAGAACATTTCATATGAAATTTGGAATTCTGAAATGTGCTTATATTACATATTTATTGCGAACCGTGGTGTCTGTCCGAGGGTTCGTCTGTCTCCCGTTTGAAAAGTTGCACAGGCAGGCAAAACTCAACATTCACTTTTGAAATGAGGGGAGAACAGGCATGAATGTTGATGCCAAATTTTATTTCGCAAAAAAGATATTCTACACTAAGTTGTTAGGCAATAATCACACTATCGTTAACATTTCAAAATGTGACGTAACTTAAAGAATAAAAATCTACATTTTCTGTATGGTATTGTTCAGTGGCTCTTAGCATGACTGAAATGCTCAACAATTATGTTTTGCTGTAGGCTGCATAAGTAGCTCTGAGTGAAACCAAGACTGCAACACAATTAACCTTTTCAAAGTCTAAGAAATAATTTAAATTGATAGATTAGCTTAAACTTTTCCCATCACTGGGGATGGGTACTTTTGGTTGTGATAGATAATTTATTATCACACATACACGTTTCAAGTGCAATCAATAGCATAAAAGTGGGATCTGTATCTTAAATTGTGATTAGGCATTTCTCAGGCTTTTCCCATCACTGGGGGATGGGTACTTTTGGTTGTGATAGATAATTTATTATCACACATACACGTTTCAAGTGCAACCAATAGCATAAAAGTGGGATCTTTATCTTAAATTGTGATTAGGCATTTCTCAGGCTTTGGATCTCAGATCATTTTACTGGTAAGAAGACTGTACTGTTTTTATAGATAAATTTATTTGTTAATCATAATTCGATTTCATTTGATCATAAAACCTAACACATTTAGAGATAATTTTTACTAATTCTTAATACCAGTTTCTTAAGTACTATATAACTGTGTATAGGATAGTCAAGATCTGAAAAAATATGATAAAATACACATGGTCATTGTTTCTGCAAATTGACTTAATGGGGACTTTGTGGAGGTTATCTGATCAAAATGTTCCCCCTTTTTTTTTCTTTAATAGTTTCGTTTTGAGTTTACTTACTGATTACGAGCAATTTTTGTAAAACTTTTTGTGTTTTAGAGAATGATTGCATCAGTGATCAAAACGTTGTACCTGTTTTAAAAAATACTTTTCCTTACTGTAAAAACTGTAACTTATAATATAAATTTGTTTTCTTGTTTTAAACATTTTATATGTTTTAGATAATTATGGCTGTGGTCTGTGTGTGAAATGAAGACTAGTAAAAATAATGTTTATCTTTATGACTGAACAGTTGAATGCCTAAATATGAAAGAGATTCATCTGTTTTTAAATAAATTATCAATTAAATAATTCTTTATGACAAAGCTTTATAAAGCATTATCATAAAAAATGTGTTAAAAAAGATGTGGAAACTAAAATTGAAAGGATAACTTTATTTGTCCCTTTTCCTTTTTACATAAATTTGTAGTTTAGTAAAGGTAAATGATAAACTATATCCCAATTATTATTTTTTGACACATACCCAATAATTTAGTCATGTCCTAATGCAAAGTGTGTATATAAAACTAGAATTATTTACACTATACAAATTGTTCTACATTCGGAAAACTCCAAAGTTGGTTTCTGGGATAGGAGTATTAAGTGCAGCACTTAGGCTTAGTCCTAATACTCTTCTGGTGTCTACTGGATCAATAACACCATCATGCCACAACCTGTACAAACAAAAATTCAATAATGATATAAATAAATTATTACACTTAGTGTTTTATTTATGATTGGAATATACATTCAACTGAAACACAGATAAAAACAATTCTTTATTTATAGAAAAACTAATTTTACATTAGTTTTAACTTTTCCTTATGAAGATTCATAGCTAAGAGTAAAATTATTTTTTTTCTTCCAAATATCAAGCTTAGTTAACTGTATCTCATTACAACAGACTCTATTAACAACAACAAAAAACAAAACAAAACAGGCTCACTGTTAAACAACTCCTAATTCATCAACGTATTATATTTGATTCATTCATTGACTGTTCATTCAATTTTTATACGGATAATGATCCAAGATGAACTTTCCTACAGTAGTGCAATAGATGCTACCAAGACAACCAAAACAAATCAAGAGAGAATACATTATCCTTCTGGAACATTTTGAGACATTATATAAAGTGTGCAAGGTAAATGCTTTGCCTTCTGTAAAATAATCATATTATTTAACATAGTTCTCTGACCATAACTATAAGGTTAACTACTAAGGAATAAATGTGTTCATATCATGATGTTTTATCTTTTCATAACTAGGGAAGAATATATAGTTAGTTATGTAAATTCAGATAATTTTTCTAAATCTTTGTGCAAGTGATCTGTATGTAGTTACAACATCTTTGTAAGAAAGATGTAGGAAAGTCATAAACTTGCACTAATCTTCCACATCCCATAAAGGGTACATATAACAACACTTCTTCCATAGGCTTAAATTTGCTTGGCTCAGTTTTTGTGTTATGCCCTCTTGAAATGACACTTGACATAGGTAACTACGAACTGTAAGATACCATTCTATGACTCCAGTCTCATTTAACAGTAACATATCTACATTAGATCTTATTATTGATCATGTCTTTGTCTTGGGTAGATGTGGAAACTTTAACTTTATTCTAGCAGCCAGTTGAAAACCCTAAGTGACAGCCCATGGTTACAATTTACATAAATGAGTAAAGATTTTATTTGTTAACTTGAGTTACTTTGTATTTCCTTTGCTGTAGATGCTCATTTTATTATCTGCATAATAATAATTTCTAAATTTTGTGGTACTTGAACTTATCTGCTAGATATCAGTGCAACTGAATACCACAAACTAAATTATAATACTAACCGTGCACTTGCATAGTAAGCATTTCCTTCCTCTTCAAATTTCTTGATGATTGGCTCTTTAAGTGCTTTTTCTTCTTCTTCCGACCACTAAAAAAAGGTTTAATATAAAGTATCTATCTTTCTGTTTATCTACCTAAGTTACAGTTAAAATACTTAATTCTTTTCCTTTCTACTGACGCATGTGAGTACTTAGTCACTTTCTGCATCATACATCTGATTGGATTTCCTGGACTGCTACTGTTTACGAGAGATATACTTTTGCAAACGACCTATAAAAAAAATTATATTTTTACACTCTATGGTTTAGTACCATTAGGTCTGTGTGCCTACAGTTACAAAAGTTATTGTTATTTATTTTAATTAATCATAACATTTTGGTCTTTTGCTTATTTCAGATATCTGCACAAAGCTACACAATGGCCACAAGTGCTACCCATCCCTAAATTTTCAACTAATAAACTAGAGACAGTTAGTCAACAACACTCATAATAAACTATTGGGATACTCTAATTGAAAAGTGGGATTTAACCATTAGACTTATAATGCACGAAAGACCCCATAAGTGCAAAGTATGATTTTGTGGCAACAGGATATGCACCCTTGAATTCACAGTCCAGCATGCTAATCACTAGCCCACACCAGACTCACTTTTTCTGTTGTATTCCAAGTAATTGATAAACATTGAAGCTTGAAATGCAAAACTGATTAATCCCCTTTCCATCAGCAGTCACACTATGTGTTCTTGGACATGATTCTGCTCAATGGTGAGAAGATTAAATGTTTTGTTCTTGTAATTAAAACTGAGAGTATTTTATTTGGGTTTCCCACACTCCAAAACAAAAATTTTTTCAGGAATTTCCAGGAAAATAAAAAAAATTCAAGGAAATTCTTTGATAAAATGTAATGTCAGGATAACAACGTACAGAATCAACTTGTATGAAACACTGTACATGTGAGCAGATTTTTGGGAGAAAATAAACATCTTTCATAATGGTCTCATAAGATTAGCAAACACTGCATGATCTCTAATTGTATTACAAGTATCAAAAATTAGAAAGTAGGAATGGAATGGGAGCACCAAAAAGTAAGGAAACAAGGCAGGAATGGGTGGGATAACATTACATGATCTCTAATTGTATTATACAATTGTAATTAATTGGAATGAGGTTGGATAGACTCCATTAAAGCAAGAAGTGTTGAGTTTTTATATTTAGCAATCTAACTCTTCTTCCCAAATAAACTAGCAAAAAAAAGTCATTATTTAATCTGTGTTTGGCTTGTTTTGTCTTTAAAGAGACATGAGGTAAAAAGTCTTGAAATTACATTGACAGCTAGGAATTAAGTACTGCTGAGAAATGCATCCATAATAAACAGTATTTCTTATTGGCTGTTACTCTTTACTTAACAATGGTTTCAAATAAACATAAAAAGTTTATTATCTCATATTAAATCAAAGTTTAGTTATTTCCAACAAAAAATAATTATCAGTTTGACCATTTGCTTTGGTTGTAAAAATCTTTCAATGCAGAGGTTTCCTGTTTATTATTTGCATACCATTTGCAAATATATTGATGTTAATTAAACAAAAATCTTTCACCTTTTATTTTTTATTCAACCATCCATTTACAAACAACATTGGTGGCTTTGTAGCAGCAGGGTCAATGATATTGGATACTGAGGTGACTGAAATAATTTCTAAAGATAATAAATATTTCTACATTACTTTGCCACTCTTTCACCTTCTTAGTCAGATAAAATTAATACATATAAAAGTTAAAATTTTCTTCAACTGGAAATGTATATCTGAGAGGTATCTACCTCTCTCTCTCTCACGCAGAAGCTATCTCGATCATTGTATGCCTTCTAAGCATTGCTAAAAGAATTTTTAGTAATCAGTGAACCAGTTTTTAAAATACTGACAGTTTTGTGCCATTTCTGCACATGTACATATCATGTGACTACTCTTCACCAATAGTATTGCACCACCTATAACGACACAGCTAGCTCCCTCTGCTATTCAGGCTCAATCCTCACTTTTGAGAATTAAGCAGGTACTAGAATAAAAACACCAGTTATAATGGGGAGGAATGGTAGCAAGTGTGTGAGAGAAGGTAAGTACCTATCGGAAATACATTTTCAGTGTGAGAAAATGTTAACTTCTGAAACAGATTTACCTCCTCTCACACAAGTTAGAATCCCACATTGCAAAGGTCGAAGGCCAGTGTAAGCACACAAAGAACAACCCAATAAGAAAGCGACCACCCAGAATGAAAGGATTTGCTCAGGGATGAAAATGAAGCACACCTGTGGAGTATCACACTACTTTTGGAACAGGTATGCTCTTTGTCCAGGAATAAGGAAAGAAACACCAAATGGGTGGAAAATGTAATGCTTGAACAATAGTAAAAGTGTTAAGAAGATGCAAGCTGTGGTAACATATAATGAAAAAAAAAAAAAGTAATAACAACAAGTAGTTAGGGCATGTGGACCGTGTTATCAATACCCAACAACTTCAACCATAAGTAAACAGTGTCGTACATCAAGCAACCAGAATTAAGAAGAGAAAGTGAGAAATGGCCATAACCAGACAAATCCTCAAAACCACTGTGGGAGTAAGTATGACAATCTGACCAAGGCATTATGGGTTCTTGGCATTGCCTTGACTCAACTATAAGAACAGAGAAAGCTGTAACCAGTATCACCAGCAAAATCATAACATACTCAATCATAAATGCAGTTTTCATGTCTTTAACAGCTTTCTAGGAAGCACAGGAACTCTGTTCACTATTAAATTGAAGTTTCTAATAATATAATGTTTTTAATTTAACATGGTAAAAATTTAAACAATTAAAACATGGGTGTAACTGTCCTTTACAGTTCACATATTCTGGTACCTCTGGAAAAAAAAAAGATAATTTTTTAGGATTTTTCTGAGACTTCATCTGTAGAGCAACCATTCATTTCTAGTTAACAATTCTTGTTACTTTTTACTTCATAGTGGTTTCTAATAAACACAAGTTTATTATCTTATATTAAATCAAGTTCTAATTATTTCTAGTTAAAAAAAGTTTTCTATTCTTAACATGAACATCGTTTAACTGTAAGACTATTTGGAGTCAAAGTCGGACTGATTTAATAAATTCCCAGACAAATCTTTACTAAAAAATACTTTATTAGAAAAAAAAATTGACTTTCTGTGTACATCAGACTTTCATGTTTACTACAAACTTGTCAAAATTCATGAAAATATACATTAAATTTGGAATTATAGTAAACATTAATCTTCCAAGACAGAGTCATTCCAATATTTATTATCTTAGCTGCAAATTTTATTATGGATTATAATGAACGTAACTGATAAATTATTGAAAGCAAACCTACCTCTTTTCCTTCTCTGTGCCTCTGATCTCTGGTTATCTGAGCTAAGACACTGGCTGCTTGTTCTCCTCCCATTATGGATATTCTAGCATTAGGCCACATATACATGAACCTAGGGCTAGAGTTAAATAAACAAAGATCATGCATGGATATCACAATACTGAAAACCATGGGCAGATCAACATTTAAAGGCATCACTAGCTAATAACTCAAGTTCAGAAGAGTTTAATGCATGAAATTATTTATTAAAATTAAACAAAAATAATAAAAATAAATAATAAAGTAGCAGAAAAAAATCATTAAAATTAGGATACAAAATTTGTAATGAACAGTTTTCAAAAATTTCTTACATTAAAGCTGAAAAAATAAACAATAGTAACTAAGGGCAAAAACAGTTTAGTTGATGCCCATAAAAACCGTTTGCTAACAAACCAAAATGAAAATAAAACGCAATTCTGCAAAGATCATCTAACTGAAATTTCAAATGACAAATATTAGCTATCTTAAATAACTTCATATAAGCTAAAAAATAAGAACCTAAATACTGAATACCATAGAGAAAATTATACAAAATATAAAATAAAAATGTGCAGTTGAGTGAGTTTGTTAAAATACATATTAATTTATAAATAATTATGATCAAACCTGTAATTTACTTGAAATATTTATTTTTTACTTTGAAAAAAAACAAAAAACATTTTATAGCGAGTATATAAATTAAAAATGACCATTCAGAAAATATGCACTCCTGGGAAGTATGATATACTGTATATTTGTTATAAGAACTCCCAGAAATTTCCTATAAGAAGAGTTATAAATATTTTGAGGAACTTTGATTAAGCTATGGTTAGAAAAGGAACCAATCTCTCATTGGAAAATTTCAGTTTATTCTTACTCGTATGCACGCCCACACATTCCATAGTTCCCTGCTCCGTAGGATCCTCCTACTATAACTGTTAGCTTGGGCACCTGAGCACATGATACAGCTGTCACCATCTTGGCACCATTCTTTGCAATTCCACCTGCTTCTGCATCTCTTCCAACCATGTAACCTCACATTTTAAAAAAACATCTATTTATACAATACGTCAATTTATCACAACTCCATATAACTGCCTATCATATTCAAAAAATTACTTTTCTGTAGCTTTAAATAAGATAATGTCACTACAGTTAAAATCCTGTCATCTGTTGAATGACAAAAGGGATAAAATTAATGACAATGCAATACTTATGTCTCTATATTGTTAACACACGTAGTTGAAAATATATAAACTACTACTTTCAATGTTTAATGTGATCATGTATCACTGTTAAACAAAACGTTGTACTGAAATAAATCTATTATTTGACAAACAGCTGTTTTAAAACTTTATATTTGATAATTAAGTGGGCACCTCTTAAAACGAAAATAGTTAATATGGTTCATCCACATCTATTAAATGTAAAACCCTCCTATCTATCTATTTGCTTATTAGAATAGTCATTAAGCAGAAGCTTTAGAAATCTTTATCTACTGGACATTACCAAGTGAACCTCTGTTTAACCACATATAGAGTGTCAAGTAAACTACATCACTGAGTAATATATTTATACTTTACATTACTTAGTTAACCTCTACTTAGATCAGTTAGTGAACCTCAGCTGATGTAAGATAAACAGAACTTCTGTCTACTTACTAAAACTGCTTTAACCCTTCACTGTTTTAATATAGCCAAATAAGTATATTTCTAGATGAAATTACAAAGTGAATGTAAATCTATTTGAGATCATGATGTAAATCTCAGTCTACTAAGTCACTTCTAACTGAGATCAACAGGCAAGTTTCAGTTTATATAAGATAAGGTTGTGAACCTCTTCCCACTTACATTAGAATGTTAAATCTTGTTTATTTGAGAACATCACATTAACTTCTATTTGATATTCCCAAGTAAACCCATCCCTACATACATAGCCTCAGCAATTATTCAAACACAATAAAGAAAGTTATAAGGGTTTAGCCCGAAGACCTCAGCACAAAAACTGAGGTTCCTCAAACATATACCACAGACAACAGAATGCTTCATTAAAAAAAAGCTATGAAATTTAAAGTCCCAGTATGTAGGCATGATGTGATATACTGTAAAATATGGAATATACTTATAACAATTTGGTTCATTAATTGAGACTATCATATTTTATAAGGATATTGTTCTAGGTTACATACTGCTCTTAGCCATGACTATGCACTATAGCCTGATGCTGCAATTTCTGCAAATGACAATGAGGTCAATTTCAGACCATTCATTTTGACAATTTTAAACATTTTATATGGAAGTTGGTTTTCAAGATACATTTATGGTGACCCATGTAAAAAAAAACTCACTTGTGCTTTATTAGAAACTTCACTAGTGTGTGTGTGTGTGTGTGTGATCGATATAAAGTGGAAGGACTATAATTCTAATTTTCAGCCATCATTCTCATGAAAACAAATGCCAATTTTGAGGAGTGACTGAAAGCTTGTGAACTTTTGGTTTTAAGCCTTTGTCAAATACAAATTCTTTCTTAATATGTTCCTAACTATGCACCAGAAGATATGTTCAGTTTCATGACAATGGATTTATTTATCACTTTTCTTTTGTAACTACAGCTTTCACTTTGCAGATGAAGGTTTTGGTGGAACAACAATGATGTCCTAAAAGCTTTGCTGTGCAAATTCTTTCACTTCCACAGAGAACATTCTCTTCTTCAATACATTGTGTCCTTTAGCTTGGCATTGGTTAATATTCTTACAATATGAGTATCCTCTTCATAAAAGGCATTGATATGATCATCCAGTCATATATCCACACTACAGTTTGGATCTGTAGTGATACAACAAAGATTGTTCATATAAAGTATGAGTGAAACTCTGTAGAAGATTAACAAAGATTTTGCAGTGATTTTTTTCTGGACTTCATCTGTCTTGTGCCTTGTCACCAGTGAAATGATTTTACAAATTTATGTTTGCCTTCGTTAGATCATACTGTTGTATGGTTGATGGCTAAATTATAATTATGTTGTTTGAACTTCCACTGTGTTTTTGACGAGATTAATTAAGACCTGATTTTCATTTGGAATAAAACTTCGCTCACCATTTTACTTTACATTTTAAAATTTAAAGGATTTTTCATGTTTATAAAGTAGCATTTATATTCCAAGTTAGTGCTTAGCCCTATGTGTACAAGGTCGATCCATTAGACCAATCCCATATTGGAGAATCAATGTTTACTATAGTGCCAAATTTAACTAATCGTATCTTCACAAAATTTGGCAAGCTTTTAGTAAACATTACAACTCTGTTGTACACACACACAAAAAAAATCAAATTTTATAACAAAGTGTTTTACTAACGATTTATCTGTGAATTTATAAAGCCAGTCTGACTCAGGTTCTGACTAGTTAAGAGTGCAAAGTGATCTTCATGTTAAGAATAAAAATACTTTTCATCTTACAGTTTCACATTTTATTTGCATAACTTCCTACATGAATATCAAGTTCTTTTTTCAAGCATATTTATATTTTTTTTTCAGTGAATTTCTATTTTTCTACCCTTACGTTAATTGCAGCAAATTCAGAAATGCAGAGGAAACAAAAAGTTGAAAAATGTGAAGTAAATCAAAACAACTATTTTTGTTTTACTAGAACGACTACATATTGTAATAGACAATTACACACAATTTATTCTTACAGCCAAAGCCGACAGAGAATATTTTTCAAATCTGATTTCATTTTGTTCTATTGTTTACAGCTATACCTAGACCTTCTTAGAGTAAGGTGAAAACCGTTCATAACAGCCAAAAAGCTTGTGTAAACAATGGATCGATTACCAGCACACATCAAATTATATAATCATGCATTGCAATGTGCTCATGCTATCACAAGTAATTTTTTTCATTTAAGTTTTCTTATTTAACCTTACAAGTTCATAATTTTTACATTTTAGTTACTTTTATAACAATAAATAAAAAATATACATAAAAAACAAGAAATTTAGTACCTATCTCTGGATTCTTGTTTTTTTCAAGTATTTTGCTGTTGGGAGATGAAGCAAGGTAACCCAACCCTACTTTTTGTAACAATGGCGGTTTATCATAAAACATTATTTTTAATTTCAAATATGAAATTCAAAAAACAAAATATCATGTACAAAAAAAGAGGGTGTCCTAAAACTACTATAATCTAACTAAGCTTTAATTGGTTAATAATTCCATTAGCTGGTTGAGCAAACTCCACAATGTAAAACAATAAAACTGGGGCCAATTATTTCAAAATCTGTCAGCTGACTGAACTAACCTTGTAGAAAAGTCAGTAAAGTAGAATCTTCTCTTTCTGTTGGTTATAAATAATCCAATAGCAAATGTCAGAAGGAATGATTGACAATTTGTTTGAAAGACAAAATGTAATAGGAAGGGTGTGGCATGTTGTTTGACTTTCTTAATATCTCAGTAAAGCAAGACGCTTGGAGGCTAGAAATTTACAATAAGGCTCAGAGATACCTGCAGTATAAGTGTGTGATTTGTACCAAACTCAGAAGAGCAGAGAAGTGTTCATATGATACACAGAAGTGAAGATTAAAAATTCATTTAAATATTTCCTCTTGAAATTTAAAGTTATATAATATCAAAATTTAAATTAGAAACTATGTTTTGATTCCAAGTTCACTAAATACAGTGATAATAAAGTTGTTTAAATCAAATTTTGAATGTAACTATTAAAAGGTCATGAGATGTGCAAATTTGGCCACATCAGTGCATATAGTATTAAAAAACGTATCATATCACACATAGATTATTTGAAATGTATATTTTCTCATTTTAAGTGAATATTTTTATACAACAAAAATATACTTCAATACAAAAAAAAAATAATTCACTAACCAGTAATGTTCTGCAAGAAAATTAAAGGAATTTTTCTCTGACAACAAAGTTGAATGAAATGGACTGCCTTAAAAAAGGAAAAATCCAAAATATTATTATTCATTAATTACACAAAACACCAATGATGCAAAATAAAATGATAATAAAAAAAATTAAATAGACATTTATTGTGTATTCTATGTTATACCAAGATTATATACATACATAGCTACACTATGCTTAAAAACTAAAAGGTATGACCAGTTCAAAATTAACCAATACTGTAATTTTCCAATTATAAACCATACTGTGTATAACCCATGTATTTTACAGGTCGTCGTTACAAAAAAATAAAAAAATCGTGTATAAACCATAGCTGTAGCACATTTGTTGTCAAGTTAATGGTAGGCTTATGTGAAAACATTTCACATATATTCTAGGGGCTCTTTCATAGCAGTTATTTCTTTTTAAGAAAAACATTATAAAATATAGAAGTAAAAGAAAAAATATTGTAATATATTATATTATATTGCTTTATGTACAGAAAATTGTTTATTTTACCTCCAGTCCTAAACTTCTTTCTTATGGGAGTCACCTCGACAAGCTTAGTTGAATTGCTAAGAGGCTCTTATTGCATAGTTAGAAAGCTAGAAAAAGTATTATAGTTATACGACATTGTTTGCTTTTTGTGCATTATTATTCTGTTTTCTTAGGCATTTTATTTAATTAAATAAAAAATTATTTAGTTGGTTTGGGTCGAAATGCATAATTGAAGTGTAACAATGTTGCCGGGAAACTTTTCATGAAATTTAAGTGAAAAATTATAAATAGCATAAAATTTGTAGCAGTTCTTATGAAAATAAAATGTTATGGTATTGCAGATAAAATGTTGTGTCTAAACTGTGGTTTATGATTGGAAAATTATGGTAGTCATAAAGAGATGTACTTAGAGATAAATGTTTACTGCATTATAAAATCAGTGTTTTAAAAGAAAATTTTAAGTATTAAGAATTTGTTGTTGAAGTCTTTTTATAATAATTTATCATTCAACAGTGAAAGTGAAACTTTTGATTTTCTTCTGAAGTTTTGAAGGAATAGTATTACATAATTTATTTTGTCTCATCAACAAAATTTCATTTAACAACAAGATAAAAATAAATTTCTTTTTGATATTTGTGCAAAGCTACACAAGATATCTATGTTTGCTGTATTCTCTCTAGTTCTATAATTTCAAAGTAAGAGTACTTTGAAATGATAGACCAGAGAGAATGCAACAAATCAACAACACCCAACACTAACACTTGGGTAACTTTGGTATAAATAAATAATGGGATTTGACTGTCACTCTTATAACAGACCGACAGTCTCATAGTGCAGAGAAAGTTTTCTTCTTCTCCAGTAATGGTTTAGGAACACAAACCCTCACATCTACGGTCAAAGCACTCTAACCATAGCCATAATAACCCATAAAAACAGAAGAAATATAAGTAAGTTGCTAGCACATTAGAATTTATGACTTACTTTTAGAGAAGAGTCAGAAAAGAGCACACCATTATTTCCTAAAATACCAACAGGATAACCAAAAAGCCTTCCAAAACCTGTCAAAACAAATTTCAAGAAATATATTTCAAACAGAATTAATGATAACAAGTAATAATTTACATTTAAATATTATTACAAATAAAAAATAATATGTTAGTCATTTTGGTCTATGCTTATGTAAAAATAACTCTTGTAAGATAAAACTTGTTCCACCCTGACGGGTCATCTTATTTAATCACAAAAACGTTCAGTTGGAAGGTCTAGTGGAACAACGTTTTGTTGATACACATAATTTAATTATATTAAAGAGTAATGCATGTTATCATTTTAAATGATGCAGCTCAAGCTTTAACTTAAAAGTTTAAGAATAAAAAAACAAGTTACTAGTTGCTTTTTAATGCCATTGTGACAAATATGAAATGTTTTAACAAATTTTGTCCACCTGCTGCGATGCTTATTTGAACTGAATGTCCAATCTGATCATTGTAATGCTGGCTTTTGACATGGGTAAAAATTACCTGATAGATGTTTTCAATATCTTTTTTTATGAAATGCTATAACATAATACTATGATAAATTTATTATTTAGTGGATTTGTTTTACAGAATTTTTTTCTCTTAACCCGTTACCTGCCATGACCATTTTGTCTTAATGTGAGGGCAAAATCACATTTGTGAATTGAAAAAATTATAGAGAACTCATCTTTTATTGGATTTTATTTTTCTAAATAGCAGCATAACATTCAATTATTTGTACAAAATTGTATTCTTTAATGAAGTTTAAAGAGGAATTTAATGAAAAAAAATCCTAAAATACATTTGAGACTAAATAAGCTCCCTCTAACAAGAAAATATTTAAAAAAGAATTAAAAAAACCTTTTTCCTTCCACTTCAGCACTGCTCCTGCCATCTATGATTGGTATCTAAACCTTTTTCTAGTCTGTGCATGTTAAACCTCAGTTAGTAAAACTTTTAGCCAATCCTA